CCACAGACCAATGTATGAGCAGCAAGCCCCACCACCGAACCGGTGACCAAGACAAAGTTCGATTTCGGCTATAGCAGCTCTGAGCAGCGAAAGCTCATCGGCGCGTCTCACATCGCACCACAGTGCGCATGCCTTAGATGTCCTGGGAGCAGCCGTCTGTAAAGCTACAGCGAGGGAACGACATTGCTCAAGCACCATTGAATAGATGACGGAGTCTGAGCTGGATACCAAGCGAGCAGAACGTTGTCGTCTTGGGATGGATTCAAGCGCGGTATATCGTTTGGGATTGGTCGATTCCCTTTTCGGCACCCCCCCCGACCGTCCATGCGCAAATCTTGCTAGCCGCTTAGCATGACGTAGCCTCACTTCCCTAGCAGACATGTTTTATTCATTCGACACGAGATATAAAGGAACGATACAAGATATAGAAGTTGGATTACGGATCCGTATTTCCGAGGGGGGGGCGCGCGACACGGCGTGGGCTGACTTGAGCACCCTCGAGAATAATTTCCCAGGGCCCTCTTCCAGTCCACCGAAGTATACTGGGCCTTTGGACCATAGTGTCCTTTTACCCGAACGAGATGTGGACCAAGTTCCCCTCGCCGCTTCATGGTCTGGAGAACCGCATCGGCGTGGGTCCGGTACGCGTTCGACAGCTCCGCCGCCGGCTTCAGGCCTGTTCCATTCCTGCCACACCAACCCCTGATCCTGCACCAGCGGCGACGGCTGGAGGGCAACACTGGAGCTACACTGGAGCTAGGGCGCACGAGCCACAGTACCAGGGCTGCAGCCCACATATTCTCGAGCCCACTCCGCAGTCCAGGCCGGGCATTGGCGGGCATCTGCCTGCGGGGCCTTGAGGGGAAATGGCAGTGCTCCTGACCTAGACTGTAGAAGGAAAAGTGAGATGGGGCTGCTAAGCAGCCCTGATTAGTAGAAACCATATAATCCAAAAAATATAAGCCGCGCCACCCCGGACCCCGGGGAAGCGGCGAGCTGGGAGAGGACCACCACAACCAGCAGTTTTATTTAGCTGGATGATGATAGGTGGTCTAAACTCACTAACCCGTTACCGGAAACATATCGTACTGCCGTAAATGCAATTTCTCGGGTCGTTGACCAGGTTTGAGCCGCGGCGCGCGTCGTGCTTGGCAGCCCGTCCACAGCCGAGTTTCGGCATGGATGGCTGCTTTTCAGCTTTGGTCCTCCAGAGGACATGTAACGGAAGTGGGGTCCGTTTTAGTTTTCAAGAAACCATTGTACGCTTACTCCGTGAAAATCAGAAAAGTCACAATGGTTCATACCGGCATGGAGTGTGTCGGGGCGGCCTACCCACTATTGAACCAAATGATGCTCCCTGACGAGGAGAAACAGAAAAGAGGGATTCCGCCAACGGAATGGCACTTGTTTTCATCGAAGCTCGTCCGCAACCCGAATGTGCCAAAGAATGCCGTGGCTCACATCAAGCCAAAAAATTTCAGCTATTTCGCAGAAGCTCGGCGTGAACTGATGTCAGATGACAAAAGTCGGGCCAGGGCGGACATTTATGTTGACGGCGAGGAGCCACCACCAGCGCATCATACGCGATTCACGAGCTCGATTGGTGTGCTTTCAGGTTCGGTGGATCAGCAATGGTTCAATCTGTGCGAAAGGAAGGCCCATCGGGGCTCAAGTCATTTTGGGTCAGGCAGATCATGCCTTTGACGGCGCCGCAGAATGACCGCTACGAGGAGCTCTGTGGTTGCGTGTTGATCACAGGCGGGGCTGGTGGCTTGGGCAAGTTATTGCGTGAGTACTTGCTGGAATATTACCCGGAATGTTCCGTGGCGATTGCGTCCCGTTCGATCAAGGAGGGAGACGAGGGTATCGAGCGATTGTCGCAATACAAGTGCGATGTGTGCAACGAATCAGAGGTGAAAAGAGTCTGTGACTCCATTCCCAATCTTGTTGGGGTGATTCACGCTGCCGGTGTCACATACGGCGGCCCGTTCAAAATGACGAATGAGAATGACTCGAAGCTTCTCTTTGATATTAAATACTGGGGCACAAGATACCTATACAACGCCACCAAGTCTCGCAAGCTTCGTTTCTTCTGGATGGCTTCGTCCATCTCCGCCGCAGTTGGAGATTTCAACATAAGCCACTACGCGGCTGCGAATTCTTCGATGGATTGGTTTGCAGAAGAGATGAGACGTCAGGGCGATAAGAATATTGTGTCCACACAATGGGGCGCGCTTGGCTTTGAGGGCGGCATGGCCCTTGAGAACACACGGAAGTTAATGGACAAACGTGGACATGGAGTTGTTACCCCAGAGCAGATGGTCGATGTCATGGAAATTGTCATTCATCAAGCTTCTGATCTCCCTGCTGTCATTTGCGTCTCCCCGCTAAATATCGACAAGACAACATCACAGAAACCTGAACTCAGCGATAACATGACATGGTGGGAAAAGGAACCCTTCGAGGTTTACGTGGCTGTGTTGAAGGCAGCTCAGACTGAGGAGATGGCTCATCCAGAAAGATGGCCCAATATTGAGGAGCTAGAGGCAATATATGGCTGCATACCAGGCTACACTACGGCCAAAAAGAATTCAGAGGCAGGAATTTGTCGCTGGTAGGGGCTCATTATCAAGCCCCCCAGCCCGCCGCATACATCTGCCAGTCGCTTGCTGGGACGTCAGGGGCCATTCGCCGGGGTTCCGGGTATTTATCTCGCTGCGCAAGGAACTAGAGAGCCATTGTTAGAACGTCCGCGCTCAAGCGTCGGTATGGGGACTAAAAAACGGCGGGCGCAGGGTCGTCGCGCTGCGGCTGGCGGCGTCTAGCTGCGTCGTCTCGCGCGTTCGATAGCAGGCGCCTATGAGGAGGGCTACCCTATGATGATGGCTACCCCGCCCATGGGGGGGGGGGGCACCGGGGGCGCCTAGGCCCCGAATAACGTACGCTATTTACGTGAGCCGTCCCCACGGTGTGGCGGGATTTCCGCCTTCAATATCTACCTTTAGCTTAGTTTGAAGCTGGCATTGCAGTGCATGTATCCCCCCTATTCAGCTCATTATATCTTTACCCTACAGATACGCGTCGCCGTATCTTTCCCCTTTTTCTTATCTCACATCTAGCGAAGGCTGCCTACGACAATGTACTCAGGATACGTGCCACCAGACTCCTAGCAGGAGAACTGTGCATAATTTTCATGAGAAGTTTATAGCATTGGGTAGAATGAGCCTCAGGCTGCCAGCGGACTGCGGCCCAGGTGGTAAAGAGAACCAGTGAAGTCTAGCTCCTTCCCCCGTTCATCTTCCTCGATTATCTCGCCAGCAAGGTCGCTCAAGAACCCATGAAACACTTCCCCAGAAAAATCTGGTTTATCAGAATCATCATATGGTAGAAATTCAAACATACAAGTCAGGAGTATGCCCTCATGGATGGGCGAGTCGAAGGGCTTGCCATCCAAAATACCCAAGGCCATTTCACCTACCTCCTCCTTATCACTCAACCCCAACCCTTGGATGCCATTAGAAACGATATGACCCAAAAAATATAAGCCGCGCCACCCCGGACCCCGGGGAAGCGGCGAGCTGGGAGAGGACCACCACAGCCAGCCGTTTTATTTAGCTGGATGATGATAGGTGGTCTAAACTCACTAACTCGTTACCGGAAACATATTGTACTGCCGTAAATGCAATTTCTTAGATCCCTCACGTCACTATGGCGCCAGTCAAACCACTACCCAGAGGTGCGCTGTCCGGCGACTGTGCTACCTCGCTGAGCCTGGTAGTCTAAACGTAGGGGCGCGGGTTCGGTGGGTTCGAGGTTCAAAGGAGCATGCAGTCCATCCAGTGGCCAGGGTGGTGCCCCTTGGGTAACCCATTCCGCCTGAGCTGCCACCAAAAGGAAACCCTCCATCACCATCGTCTCGCTGTCGCCCGCCATTTCGTTCGCTGTCGCCTTGTCGCTGCCGCCGCTGTCGTCTTCCTTGCAGTCGCCGCAGGCTTGGGGAGAGCTTTTCGATGGTCGATGGTGTTTAGTAAATCGTTTTCCGAGTCCTCCGTCGTTATTGCCGTCGTCGTCGCAGGCTTGCGTAACCCCATCACACGGCGAGTGGCACTTAGTGTAAGGTGAAGGTGCTAGCCAGTGATGGGAACACAAGTCCCAAGACCAGACCTTCTGGAAATGCTGACTTCAATATAGGGGACCCTGCTCTTTATTTGTCCACGGACACTTCTTTACTTTCCGAACATATTGATTCCAATCGCCCTGGGGTACAAATTTATATTTCAAGAGCAGGGAGTCTATTGCGCACCTTATTTGCAACAGATTTGTTGACGTTCAGTAGCTCCCATTTCTGCACTGGATATCCTGTAACAATACACGTAGGCAAATCTGAAGCATATAGCCCAGAATAGACGGTCCCAAGGGCCTGTTGCTTCGCAGGTAACTGCTGGTCGACTGATTTATCCATGCAAATGGTTAACACCCAGTCCCTTATCTCTTCGCGATCGTCTTCACGAGGAAGATATTGTTGTGTCGGCAAGTCAAAGGGGAACGGCACATTGGTCGCATCTACAAAGTCAGCGTTATCTATACTGTCAATATTGCCCTCTTCAATGGCTTCAGTAAGATCTATGTAGCGATTTAAGAGCACGAAAGCCAAATTATCATGTCCTTGGTCCCGCGCCATGGTCCCAGCCTGATAAAATGCCTTATCGATTGGAATGATCCCTGAGTACCGCATCAATGTAATGGCGATTTTCAACGCTATATCCTTCAGGCCCTGACTGACGCAGGTCAAGTATAACCTATAATAATGTGTAGCCATCAAAAGCTGCTCAAAACCACCGGCACCCTGCGTACCGAGTGCATCCTCTCGTGCCCCATCATGAGATGAAGCTAAATGAAAAAGAACGTCCCGCAGGTCAGATACTGAATGCTCGTGGTCTAGATTTGCTTGGGCGTAGCTTTGGCCCAACACAGCCAAGACTAGGTCGTGATACATCTGCACGTTGGGTCCGGGCGGTGGAGCGCCGTGTTGCTTGAGTGTGCGCACGGCCTGGGTCAAATCGCCCTTGGCAGCGAGGATTTGCGCAGCTTGCAATCCAGCATACCTTGCACGAACAGATAGATGGATTTGTTCTCGGTCGGCCATCTGCCATAGTCGATCCCATTCTTTGCGCTCCACAAGTACATCCAGAGCTGCCGTTCTGTGCCCAAGCTCGAGTAGTCCATCGGTGTCTTCGGCCGATCGCAATGCAGATTGGTAAGCAGCATCGACTTCCGCCTCCAGCGTGCTAGAACCTATCGCCAGTTCACGCGCCTTTGCCCAGCACCGGCCATCCATTGCACACCTTACGGCCCCATCTATGTCATTCAACTCACGAAGAAACTCTGCTGCTGCTCCGTGACGGCCGATAGCTTTGAGTTTGTGCGTCACCTTAATCGCAATATCACGAAATTTCTCCGGTGGCATGTGCCGGCGGGCTACATCGATGGCGCACTCCCATATCTCCTCAAGCTCCTTCGGATCTTCAAGGAGTCCCGGGCGGGCATTCAAGTAGGCCTCAACCGCACGGTCCCACTGTTTCTGCTGTTCCCATTGTTGCCCGGCACTCAAAAAGTCTACCTTAGTACCTCCAGTGCCACGCTGCGCTTCAGCTTGTGAGTAAGCCAGGGAAACTTCGGCAAGCTGATGGGGTAAGTGGCGCTGCGCAAGAGCCAGGGCCTCCGTCCACATACCTGCATCGCGGTACATCGAAAGGGCAAGCTCAGGCTTTGCCGCCAGCATGAATAATTCTTCTGCGTGTTGGTGTTGGCCCGCGTCAGCTTCAGCGCGCGCGTGAGACACATAGACATCTGGCGAGGCTGATGGATCATACTTGTTAGCGACCGCAAGTGCTTCAGCCCATGCTTGTTGATGTATGTACATATCTATTGCTTCACGCGGTTTGTTTGCTTGGATGAACTCAGATTCTGCTTCCTTGTAGCGCTCTTCATCCTCGAGGTAAAGTGCATGTTTCAAATGGACATCAGGCAATTTCCCAGGACATGCGGAGCGAGCTAGCTCAAATGCATGATCAAATGCTCCCGACTCTATTGCATAGTCAATGGCCGGCTCAATCAGCCCCTGCTTTGTTAGCAGTTTAGCCCCCGCATCACCACCGAGCGAAAGTGCCCATGCATATGCGACGCGCTTTGATGCATTCGGGCCACCATGAAGCTTGGCAACACGCATGGCCTCTTCCCACATGTCATTCGTGCGATACATGTTCACTGCAGAAAGCCACTCACCAGCTTCACAGTAGTGGTGCTCAGCGTCGCGTAAACTTCCCTCTGACTCTAAATGCTGCGCAAGATACTGATGGGTCTCTTTCAGGAGCTCTCTTCGATGCTTTTCAACAAGTTGCACCATCGCATCGTATTTTCGTTGCTTCTTGTACATATTTATGGCCAAATCTGGCTCGTCGACTGTCAGATAGAGTTTCTCTGCATCTTTTAGCTTGCCTTCCGCCTCAAGCTTTTGCGCATGCGATATGTACAACAAACTGACCTCCCGAGGTTCCATGTAGGACGAAGCTATTTTGTGGGCCCGATCCCACAAATTTGCTCGAGTGTACATTTCAACGGCCTTATCTGGTGCACCAGCTGCCACGTAAAATCGCTCGGCTTCGCTCGTGTCATTAGAATCTTCGTAGTGGCGAGCTAGGCGGCGAAGATAGGGCTGAGCTATATCCAAGTCGACGTTCTCTAACATCTGCGCTGCTTTCGTCCATTGTCGGGCACTAAGTGCAGCATCGATTGCTTTAGAGGACATGGATGCTTCGATGTAATGATTGATAGCCATCTCAACTTGATTATGCTCAAAAAGATAATCGCCCCATAATTCTTGTAGCTCAACAACTCGCCCCGGGAAATGTTTCCGCGCAAGCTCCACAGCTTTGCGAAATGAGGCACCCTTCAAGTATGCGTCCATGGCACGCTGTAGCTGGTCCATACGTTCATAAAACTCGCCCGCCTGTTCATGCAGCCCACCAGCCGTGAGCGATGCTGAAACACGTTCCAAGATGGATGGTGGATTGTTGATTCCATGCTGCTTGATGAGCCGTGCAGCACGCCCGGGCATTCCGCCTCTTAGGTACAATTCGATAGCCTGGAGGAAATCGCCTTCCATTTCCTTTAGTTGCGCAGCCTTTGCCGCCTGATTTGAATCTAGAAGGTATTGGAAATGATCCTGCCGCATTGAAGCCGCATCTGGGTGCGATCTTTCTTCTGCAATTGCCACAGCGCGGTCAAACTTATGCAGCTGCTGGTGCATTTGGATAGCTTCGTTAGTTTTTCCTTGCACTAATAGAATAGTCTCCGCTTCCTTTGCATCTTTTCGAAGCAACGCGTGCCTTGCCCGCGCAAGAAAGTAGTCCGGCCCCATACCACTTTCGGCGATAAGTTTATTGAGTTTGTGCAAGTATCGAGCTCGACCAACATTGCCCAGGGCGGCTGCACAACGCTCCGCAATGAGTAAATTGCCACCCAAAAGTGCCATTTCCTCGAGTTTTTTCCACATGCCTTCGGCCTCCGGTGAGAGCTCCAATAACTCAAGAATGTCTGCTGCACGCTCATAGGCACGATCATCAATAGCGGTGCCAAATTGGATGAGAGCCTCGTCGAGCAAGTAGGATGCCGTTGAAAGTTGTTCGTCAACTATCACCTCTGTGCGACCGTTGATACGCTCTATGTCTTCAACATCGCCCTTGATCTGGTGAACAGTAACTTGGTCAGGAGTATGAATATTATACCATACACACAAGTTGTTGCGGTTTTGCGCAACAACCACGTCAGAGTCGGGGACCCACTGGACATAGGTGCAGTAGTTTAAGAGCGTGGTCCGTGTTTGTGTTTCAATATCATACAAGTGTAGCTGACGACGCCGGTCTCTGAAAAGGAGCAAGGAAGCCCGCCCATTCAACTCAAGCCAGTCAATTTTGGAGTCTTGGGACACTGTCGTTGAACTCCCAGTGACGAGATCTTTGATATTGATAGTCTGTGCATCCAGCAAGTATGCAATTTTCTTATTATCCAGCCCGCTTGATCTTTCACGCTCGTCATCTAAAGGTGGACTACCATCCGTTGGGCTGGGACGCTCATTTATTCGCACTGAAAGCAGGTGACCAGAGATGTGATCGGTGCGAACAGTTCCAAGTGTTTCATTGCAACCATACTCAACGAGCGCCAATTCCCCAGCATGATACACAATACAGCAGACTGGATTATCAAACACAAATTTTTCGTTTCCTCCATTTGACCAAGATATTTCGGAGAGTTTGTAGGTGGCTAGATCACCGAGTAGCAAAGTCTCAGTTGACGTGCCGTGATCCGTCGTGTTTGCAACCACGTAGCGGTCTTGAAAGATATTGATCTTAGTTATCTCACATCCATATAGAGATTTGAGCACAATGCGAGTGCCCGTTTCAAGGCGCTTGACAATCACTTGAGAAAGCGAGGAATATGTGAACTCAAACTTACCCTTGTACCGATATCGCCGCACACAAGCGTCATAAAGATCAAGAGAGCCAAACAGAGATCCAACGGCTAGTCGAGTGCCATCGTTTTTCCAAGCTACTGATGTTACCGCGTAGAGATTCTCGATCATCTTGGGTCCTATCTCCTCCCACAAATCTTGTCGTTGCTTGTATGTATAGGTGTAAAATGAATTCCAATTACCAAGCACCACGGTCTCGCCAGTGGGATTAAATGCGGCAATTGTAAACTCACCACAGAAACAGCCACCCTTCGAGTTGGGCTCGGCATCACCGCTATGGGGCGAGTCTGAGTAATCAAACCTTTTTTCGATCCCCCCCTGATCATCGTAAAACACCACTGTGCCATCGTTCCCACCAACAACGATCGAGTGCCCCCAGGCAAGTGCGTACGGTACACACCTGGCGAGATTTTTGTGAAATAAATCGGTCGGCCACTTGACACGACACGGAAAGAGGGCGAATGATGAGCTATTTTTGTATTAACAAGACCCCCTCCAGCCTGCGTTGGAGAAACCGCGTCGGATCGGGCAAGGGGGACGGAAATCAGACGCGTATACAGGCCTGGTGAAAGAAGAATCTGTGGATTGAGCCATCAATATGTGACGAACAAACTCCGTGCCCATCAGCCGAACTTGCCACCGCGCACACATATGAATCTGTAGTGTACAAAGTTGCCGGTTTATTGGTACGAAGCTGGCCAACTTTGACCTTGCCTTCTGCAAGTCCGTACCTGTCGGACAGGTGATCACAGAGCTATTTGAAATTTAAATTTGGAATGAGGATTCCATTGCCAAGTGTTGTCCAAGGCGCGGGGTGTGACACGAGCTCATTTGGCCTGCTTGAAGGCCATGTTAATCCAGTAATTGGAGAAGCTTGCAAAAACTTGTTACAGATAGATTTTTTATCCCCCCATTCTAATCCAAGTTTGTACACAAAAACGATGTTATCGCTCTGGGCAATGGCTAGCTTGGAAGAGTCTGGAGAGAAGTGCATGGCCCTCACAACATATGTTTTGGGACCCTTATCTGCCGGCTTCGTGGAAAATTTGTCAACGGGATCCCCTTGGTCGTCAAAAAGTCGCACGACTCGGTCCATGCCACACACTGCCAGCTTGCGGTTATTCGGCGAATAGCAAATAGCTGTAATCTTGCCATCGTGAACCCTCCCCGAGGTGGTGCCCCCATTAGCGGGTAACAGAGTGCACAAGTGACGAAGCTGCATAACTTACGACTGCAGTTTGACTCAAGTTAAACCGTTCACGTATCGCGCTGTCCGTAGGAAGTTAGGATAGTTTATTACAATAGTAGCTTCCTAACGTTATGACCGTCGCCTAAAATTACAAAAAAAATACTTGGGGTGGTAATTCGCCGGTAATTACTAGTAATTACCAGAGAGAGATATCAGTTCCCGAGTACCGCGGCATACAGCGCCCCAAGTGCGCACGCCGTCGCCAGCTACTGCTGTCGCTCGCTGGCGACGGGGCGCGTCGCCACCTGCCCGTGCGTGAACCCGGGCCCGCTGCCAGCCTCCCCCGCACGCTCGACACTCGTTGTTGGGCCTCTGCGGCGGGAGCCGCGCGCCCCACGTCGAGCATGGCGACGAACCTCGTCGACTGGTTGGACGCCGACGGCGACGTGGAGCATGTGCCGCCGCATGTCAAGCAGGCCCTCGAGGCCCCGTGGCGCGGCCAGGACGACCTCAAGGGCGCCAAGGCGCGCGCGACAGATGACCCAATTCCCCCAGCGTCATCCCCTAGGGTACGAATCCTCGTATCCTCCTCCTCCTTAACCTAGCCTATAACGCCAGTGCTATGGTTCACCTCCGCGGCGGCGTGCCCGGCGCGGCGACGACGCGCGGCGCGCCGAGCAGTGTGGAATTCAACCATAGGCGTAGGACCCCCCAATAGAAGTATTATTCATTATTCTGAGGCGGGACGCGTTACTACTCTGTACGTAGACCGCGCGCGCGCGTGGTCCGGTGAACTTCAATTTCGTTCGACCCTGGGCAAAATCGGTCGAATATATCATACGAGCCAACCAACGCTCGTTAAATTATCCGATCGCATCGATTCCCACGTGTTACAGGCGCGGGTCGCGGGTTCGGGCTGGGGAAACGTAGAGAGGTAACTTCAACATTGCACTGATCGTGCAAACTTTTGACCCAGGACTATTAGGATTTTATTTTGAATTCCACACTGGCGCCGAGGAGCCCGCTGACGTCCAGGAGGGCCGCCGCCGTCGCCCGTTGACGTCCAGGAGGGCCGCCGCCGTCGCCCGAGGGCTCCGCCGAATCCCGCCGGGCGGGTCTTCCGCGCGGAGCCGCTGCACCTACGCGAACACGGTCATGAGCAAACGGTCCCGGCCCCGACAAGGGCTTTCCCCGCGCCCCGTGAAGCGGTCCCCGGCCCTCTACTGCCCCCCTGAACCCGCGAGTTCGACGATTTCCCGAGAGCGCGCGCCTCGCACGATTTCTTTCCACTACTACTTGTATCGAGGTCAGAACGCGAGTGTGATTAAGCACAATCAAAGTGCGCTTGGCGATAAGCCAGCTACCTAGGGAGCCTACATTCCGCTCCTTGGGCTATGCCGTAAATGCAATTACCGACGAATGCGGCGCTCATAGCCGGCCACAGCGGCCACGAGATCGGCCTCTCAGCGAGTTAGGCGCTCTGTGTGGCACGCCGCGCTGCGCGTGCGCCCCCGCGAGCGCCCGCACGGGTTGTACCGTTGTCTGTGACCTATGGGCCGTCCGTAATCAGCTCCTTGGCTCCGAAAAAGAGGCGCGCGCGCATCTACGGCGTGGGCCCGAAAACGCCGTCATCCAGCGGTCCAGCCATGCGGCGGCGAATCGACGAGTTCTCGGGCGCTCTTGCAATTAGATGTTCGCCATGATGGTACGAGTCGATGGTGCGACGCATCTTTGGTCGCGCGTCGATATTCCGACGGCTCACGAATGTCCGACGAACGGCGGCGCGCAACTACCGAGGACGCGCACCGCGGTGCGGCTGCGGTCGCTGGTGACGGGCTGGACGTTGTCGAACGCGTGGAACATATGATACGTGCCGGTGAAGGCGTCGGAGTCGCCCCGAGTTGCGAAATTGGCGTGGGAGAGGTCGTTCTGGTCCCAGATGGCCTCGAATAGCCCGAAAACGAATGATTTCGGCGCCAAACGCAGCGTTTCGCGTCGACCGATCACCGTCGCTGTGTTCCGCCGGGCGGTCCGACATCGTAGAGCTCCTGCCTGACGATCTACACCGTCTTCGACGCCCACAAGGTGCCCGACGGTCATTTCTACCTAGATTTACCCTTAAACGCGCTCTGGCTGGCATGCGTGGGGCGCAGAGGCCAAGCACGTCGCCGTCGAAGCGTTCCGCGCCATCGGAGCGCCCAGCGGAGCACAGCGACGGTGATCGATCGACGCGGAACGCAGCGTCTGGCACCAAAACCA